CCACATAACAGAGAATCCTGTGGAAATAATCTGAAAGGAGAGTCACCTGAAATGCCCAGAACATTCAAGGATCCATTCCATCTCTCGGCAAGATACGCTGCCTTAGCAGAGAAATCACCTACAAACCCAAGGGCATAGCTTTCATGAAGACGTTGAGCAAGCATGACTGACATCATAAGGCATGATTTAAGGTTGGGTATTTGATTTACAGATTTAGGGCTGGTAATTAGGTAAAACCTGCAGCATCTATCTTTGGGTATTTTCGACAGACACAAAACTTTAAAGGCAAATAGATAGAAAACTAGAGAAATCGAAGGAAAGGGTATGTACAGATTAGATCAGGTCGATCAGATTAGACACAACAGGGGAATGCATAAAGCATTGAATTCTTTTATTGCATGCATGTATGAAAAGTGAGAACACACCAATTCTACTATTTTTTTTGTTGGAAAATTTTGGACTGCAACGTTTAGTAAGTCTCTGGTAGTGGCCCACCTAATTAAAGTAGGAAGAATAATTGATGGCATTGTGTGAAACGGAAAATTTTGACATTCATGGCACCTAGCTAGCTTTATGACAGAGAAGAAGAGATAGTTGAGCTTGTTCAAGTACAGATCCCATTTTTGGTTGACAGCTAGTGGTATGCCAAAGGGCCAAAGGCAAGCCTTAGAAATGCCGTAGAAGCTGTGCAAAAAGGTCATGCTGTGTATTAGGCTGTGCTATAAAGGTCTAATCAAAATGTGTTAATAAAGAGATGCGAATGGGTTTGGGTACACCTTATAGGCTTGTACCCTAGAAATACAATAATTTTTGCTAAGAAAAAAATGGTATTTAGTTTTTATATGGTTTGATTGATTTTGGTTGACAATAATACAATTAGTTTTTTTTTTCCCTCTAAATTATAGATATAATCATATAAATACAATTTATAGAACAATAAGTTTAAAGTAAAATAAAAATACTGTAACATTTTTATATGATATCTCACACATAATGAAGCTGAGTCCCCACCACCCCTGTAACATATTTTTTTAAACCAAAGTCTATATACGATATATCACACATCAAAAAATTAAATGTGGCATTCACCTTCCAGCCCACTACCACAAAGACAACAAGCAGCAGCTTAGCCTCAGTAATTAGTAATACAACTCCTATACGCAATTGCTAGAGATTACTAGAGATTAGAGATAGACACCAATTATTAGAGATTACATATGTAATTGTTATAAGAAGCAAAAAGACCTAAGAGAACTATTTAATTGTGCATTCAAAACTTATTAGAAGTCTCATTTGATACTTCAATTTCATTGTTAGAGCTTCTTTTTTATTCTGTTACTAGAAGTATTACACTTTGTTTTTGCTAACGTAGTTATAATTTCGTTTTTATTTGATTGTTCTATTTATAAATTTAAAGTATTTTTATTTAATTGTCACATTTTTTCTATTTTCAAAATCCATCAGATACTATTTTTTAAATCTAGAATTGCATATTACTCTCATCATTTATACTATAATAGAAAAGCTTTTACTAGGGATAAATGAGGTATTCCAACTCCTAATCATTATATTTT